GATGGCGTAGACACGCCGGAGCCGCCGAAGATGCCCTCTACAGGCGAGCAGGCCGGCGTGTGGATTGCCTTTGCGCAGCGTCAAGATCCATCATACTGAAGCCCTAAACCCTAATCCCCTATCCCCTAAGTTTAGGAGCCTCCGGCTCAGGCCGCCGACCCAAGAGGCCCGAAACCTCTCAACCCTCAAAGCCGGAAAGTGTTGTTACCCTAAAGCCTAAACGCTAAACCCTAAACCCTAAACCCCTAAACCAGGGGTCCTGCGAAATCTGGCACGATGTGCCGTGGTCCCTAAGCCAAGCTGCAAGCCCAAACCCCGAACGCGAGACAGCAGTCGAGTCGGTCAGGACATGTGTGGGGGGCTGCGGGGGGGCGTGGGGGGGGTGGTGGGGGGTTCGGAGGGGTTTTGCGGAAGGAGCCCCTACCCCTTGTGCTGAACCGCCTATGGTGGATGCGTTTACGTCGTGCGGGTGGCGCGGTCCTCCATGAAAAAATTGTGCACTGACCCCCCACCCCCCCCCCTCCCCCGCATTTTGAGGTTTTGGGGGTGTAAGGGAGGGGAGGGGGAGGGTTCCTCCCCCAAAACCATCCAACACGCCGCCAGATTCGGCGGACCCTAAACCCCGAACCCTAAACCCTAAACCCTAAACCTTAAACCCTAAACCCTAAAACCTCAACCCTCAACCCTAGACCCTAAGCGCTAAACCCTAAACCCTCAACCCTAAACCCCAAGCCCTAAACTTTAGGGCTGAAGATCGAGGATGTTGGGGTTGGGGTGTAGGGAGGTTAGGGCAGGCTCGCTTCTTGGGATTCTTGTCGTTCTGCGTGAGCTTTATATTGGACATGTTAGGATCACAGCTTTTCTCCATCAACAATCTCTAAATCCAACCCCCGCATCGGCCCGCAGTAGACCCTGTACCCTGAACCCTAAAACCCGAAACCCTAAACCTCTACACCCGAAAGCCCTAAACCCTAGCTAAACCCATCTCAGAATCCCTAAACCCTAACCCTAAACCCTGAACTGCAAGCCCCAAGCCGTAAGCCCCAAGCCCCAAACCTTCGCTTTTGTCCGAAACACCACATCCTCCGACTTCGTTTCGAGGTGCAGTACAAGTGTGGGCTGGCATACGAGGGGTAGTGCGTAGTACCCTAGACCTTAAACCCTAAACCCGAAACCGGAAACCCGAAACCCGAAACCCTAAACCTTAAACCCTAAACCCGAAACCTTAAACCCTAAACCCTAAACCCTAAACCCTCAGCCCTGCGCCCTAAATCCTTGCTGGGAAACACTCATTTTTTAGCCGGGCAGGTCCCAAGAGCCGGCGGGATTCCAGGCTGGCAGAATCTTGTCACACGCCGTATCTTGGGGTTTAGGGTTTAGGGTTTAGGGTTTAGGAGGGTTTAGGGTTTAGGGTTGGGGTTGAGGGTTTAGCGTTTAGGGTTTGGGGTGTAGCATCGGCCAGCTGAACGCAGTCGTGTGAAGACATGCCCACCCCAAGGCCACCCACTCAAAATTCACAGCGAGCCAAAACCAGAGCCAGCCGCACCCAGTCAGTTTCCGTGGGGTCCGGGCGAGCAGGCGAGACTGGTTCTTAGTAAGGAATGAGGGAATGAGGGCCCTACATAATCCCTGGTCTTTCAGCTGCTACGGCTTCGTAGGGATTGGTCCACTAGACATCTTGAACCTGCGCACATCGTCTCTTCTGCCGGTCGGAAGACAAGGGAACGCTTGCCGGACGCCGTTCATGCTCCCTTCGTCCATGGCAAAGGTGATCGGTGACTTCGGAACCGGCAGCGTGAAGTTCACTTTCTTTGACCGTGACGGCCGTCTCCAGACGGAAGATCTTTCGAGTTTGGTCATCCCTTGGCTTCAGTGAGAGACCTGGACTTTGGAGACGAGCGCGTCCAGGAGATAATCAAGAAGGAGACGGCTATCTGTGTGCAATGCTTCTTGTTACAGGGCGCGCAGCATGAGACTGGACCTGATTCAGCTACCATGACCGGTGCATGGCGAGACCAGGCCTTCATCGACTTAGATGCCAGGGTGAACTTCGGGGACAATGCGCCGTCGATCCGCATCAAGACGCTTTCAGCGAGGCGGGTCTGGACTCCTGCGCGGCGCTGAACCAGCGCCCGAGCTCTTTGCAGCGATCGGCGCTGGTGCTGGCTCCATTCAGGCTACCGGGCAGCGGGATGCCGATGCCGTCGCCACATGCGTCGAGGTTGGCTCCCTCGGAATCGCCGAAGAGCCCATGCTCGGCGGCGCCAGCCTTGCATGCTGCTCTCGGCCTCGCTGCCGACGACACCCCGGCGGGCCGACTGTTGTCCTGTACTCGGGCCTGGCAGCTTTCCTTGGCATCCGCCCAGCATTCCGTCCTGCAACTTCGTAATGAAGTTGCAGCGCGGCTACAGACGATCCGCGCTCCCGCGGCTGCTTTGAACTGCTGCTGTCAGTCATGCTGCTCTTCCATGAGGATGCTGTCAGTCATGCTGCTCTTCCATGAGGGTGCAAACGCCAGGTTTGTGGGTGGGTCGCTTTTCATCCTGGGCACAGATGCTTCTTACGCTGCCCAGGACTACGGTGCTGAGCAAAATCTTTGTTGTGACGCACGGCGATGGAGGTTTCGCCTCCAGCGAGGATCGCTCACTTCGACGTACGGCAGCCTAGCCACAGGTAGAAGAAGCGGGTGAACGTTCTGAGATCCTGTCCACATGTCAAAGGCACCTTGCAGAAATATGAGCAGGTGCATCTTCCGTCCTAATTTGTATGCCGGGGAGATATCAAGATCACAGAATCCCATAAAGGGTATATATAGGGCCCTCATTCCCTCATTCCCTCATTCCCTACTAAGAACCAGGGCAAACGAGCCACGTGACTGGGAAATCAAGCCCGAGGCTTCGGGCAGGGGTGCGCTGAGCGGTCTTTTTGCTTTCAGAGTTTTTTGGTCAAGGGAGGGTCGCTGGGAGGCATCCAGGGGCTGTCAAGGCGTTTTGGAGGTTTCCAAAAGCTTTTGTGGGGGCCTTTTACAGGGGAGGATGCTTGCGCCTCGGGTGCGAAAATCCTTGGGTTTCGGGTAATACTTGCAGGCTTTGCAGCCCAGCAAAGCCTGCCATGGTCTCGCTGCTCGACTGCGCCCGCCTACCCAGCAGAGGCGGCTTTAGGGAAGCTGCTCCTTGGACTGTGAGGCTCATAAGCCGGCCAGATTCACTGGCGAAGATATGGCCCGGAATTTCCCCTGAAGCCTGCACCCAATTTTGCCGTGAAGCCTGCACCCATCTACCTGCATCCAAAGCTGTCAAGAGCTACCTTCATTGGCCATTTTGCATGTAAGGGTCTAGGGTTTACATAGGGTTTGGGGTATTCAGCGTTTCGGGTCACGACGCTTCACGGCGTAGGGTGTAGGGTTTCGAGCATAGGTGAAACAGCCCTAGACCCTAAACCCTAAACCCCAAACCCTAAACCCCAAACCCCAAACCCCAAACCCCAAGCCCCACACCCTAAACCCTAAACCCTAAACCCTAACCTAACCCTAACCCTTAAACCGTAATCCCTAAAACCAACCCAGGCTCGACCTTTGGTTTCTTTGGTCGTGTGCTGCTGCCCGCCCTAAACCCTAAACCCTAAACCCTAAACCCTAAACCCTAAACCCTAAACCCTAAACCCTAAACCCTAAACCCTAAACCCTAAACCCTAAACCCTAAACCCTAAACCCTAACCCTAAACCTAAACCCTAAACCCTAAACCCTAAACCCTAAACCCTAAACCCTAAACCCTAAACCCTAAACCCTAAACCCTAAACCCTAACCCTAAACCTAAAAAACCCTAAACCCTAACCTAACCCTAAACCCTAAACCCTAAACCCTAAACCCTAAACCCTAAACCCTAAACCCTAAACCCTAAACCCTAAACCCTAAACCCTAAACCCTAAACCCTAAACCCTAAACCCTAAACCCTAAACCCTAAACCCTAAACCTTAAACCCTAAACCCTAAACCCTAAACCCTAAACCCTAAACCCTAAACCTAAAACCCTGAACCACTAAGAGGAAGTCCACGTTTTTCTTGCAAGTAACTCGTGTTATGCGAGGTCTCTCGGAGTGGCTTCAAGAACTTTGCCTCGAAGAGTACGAGGAGGACCCTGGATTAGGGTTTAGGGTTTAGGCTTAGGGCTTAGGGCTTAGGGCTTAGGGCTTAGGGCTTTAGGGCTTTAGGGCATTAAGAGTCTTAAAGTTTCAGGGCTTCAGGGTTCAGGGAAATATCAATAGGTCAGCATAGACGTCCCCAACCTAGAGTAACACGTCATTCGCACCTTCTACCCTGATCTCTGACCTATGAATCGCTAACCCCTAAACCCTAAACCCTAAACCCCTAAACCCCTAAACCCCTAAACCCCTAAACCCCGAAACCCCGAAACCCCTAAACTCCTAAACTCCTAAACCCCTAAACCCCTAAACCCCGAAACCCCGAAACCCCTAAACCCCTAAACCCCTAAACCCCTAAACTCCGACTAGGGAAACTCGATCTCCAAGTTGTTCACGTGGCGCAGGAGGTGCTTCGATGGTGCAGGAGCATGGGTGCAATTTGGCTTGAGGAGGCCATGTTTAGGGTTTAGGCTTTAGGGTATAGGGCTAGGGTTCACGGTTTAGGGTTTAGGGTTAGGGTTTAGGGTTTAGGGTTTAGGGTTTAGGGTTTAGGGTTCAGGGTTCAGGGTTTAGGGTTTAGGGTTCAGGGTTTAGGGGTTTAGGGTTTGGGGTTTAGGGTTTAGGGTTTAGGGAGTAGATATCGTGATTCCGTGTGTGGATTGTAAGGTTGGGGCTTGCCGAAGTAATTCCCCCCAAGACGCTTAGGAGTTTTCAGCAGCCCCTGACCCAAGCCTTCTGCTGGGTTCCGCAATGAGGGCTGAACCCTAAACCCTAAACCCGAAACCCTCAACCCTAACCCTAAACCCTAAACCTTAAACCCTAAGCCCTAAGCCCTAAACCCTAAACCCTAAACCCTAAATCTTAATAGTAATCTTAATAGTTAAATTTAAACCCAAAACCCTAAAGCCGGCTTTAGGATTTCGGGCTTCCGGCAGTGATGGGAAGCAGGAGTTTCAGGCTCTAGTTCCCGCTCACGAGCTTTTTGCAGTCTGGGAACCGAGAGGTTTTTAGGGGGGTAGGGGGTTTTAGTGGTTTTAGGGGTTTTAGGGGTCTAGGGTCTAGGGGTTTAGGGGGTTTGGGGTTTTGGGGGTGTAGGGGTTTCGGGGTTTTAGGGGTTGGGGGGTTTAGGGGTGTTGGGGTTTGGGGGTTTAGCTTAGGGGGGGGGGTGGGCTCTTGCACGGCTTTTCTTTGTGCATCCGTTGTAAGCGGAGTTGCCGTAGCGGTGTTCCAAAATCGGCACTCTCGCTACCCCCCCCCCCCCCAAACCTGGCTCAAACGAGGATCATTCTGTTGGCACAAGGAGTTGTGGGTCCCTCATCTCCAGATCATTCTGCTTGCAAAGGGCTCATTCTGATTTCGTGCTTAGGGTTGCAGCCCCACCCATGTGCGAACAAAATGTGCAGTTTGGGGTTTCTAGTACGGTTAGCCCTCGGCTCGAAGGAGTGTACTGAAACAAAGACCCCCCCCCAGCAGTGCCCATAACTCAGAGCAATTGCCGCAGTGCTGGTGCAGGTGCAGGAAAATGCGGAGGACTGAAGGGTTTAGGGTTTAGGGCTTGTGTGTGTGGGCGCCTGTGCACCTGTGCGCGTGTGCGCCTGTGCGCTTGTGTGCGTGTGCGCCTTTGCGAGTGTGCGTAGGTGCGCGTGTGCGCGCTCGCGTGGGTGGTTCGTATCGCGCGGGTGGTTCGTATGTTCGTGTTCGTGTGCGTGTGCGTGTGCGTGTGGGTGTGCGTGTGCGTGTGGGTGTGCGTGTGCGTGTGGGTGTGCGTGTGCGTGTGCAAGTGCGTGTATGTGTGCAAGTGCGTGTGCGTGTGCAAGTGCGCGCTCAAGTGCGTGTGCATGCCGCAAATCGACTCCAAAAATCATTCAAATCATGGCACCCCCAAAATGGCCCAAGACATGAGGGCTCCTGATGGTAATGGCGGCCCCCTGCCACCCGAAGCCGATGACAACCGAGTCAGGACTTGGCGGACCACCTCCGTCTACGCCCCCTGGAACGGCCAGGGCTCAAGACCTTTCTAGTCTGAGGGTTTAGGGTTTAGGGTTTAGGGTTTAGGGTTTAGGATTTAGGGTTTAGGGCTAGAACCCTAACCCCTGAGCCCTGGACCCTGAATGGAAGCCGGATCTTTCTTCAGAGCTTGGCCTCGTCGTCGTCAGAAACTTCCCTGCTGCCTTGCATGCAGTCGGAGTCCATCATTCGTGCTGCTACCTACTCCTCCTATATTTGTATTGTTTTTATTGTTGCTGTGCTTGTTTATATTGCTTTATGGTTACTGTGCGTATTTATATGGTTTTATGGTTAACTGTGCTTATTCTTTACTTAATTGCCATGCTTCCTCTTCTGATACATGCTCTTTTTCGCATTCTCATTTGCTTATCTTCATACTCTCTCTTTCTCTACATATATCTGGTCAGTTTTCGGAATTATGGTCCCCATTTGGGCAACCCCAAAATACTAGGGGCCGCCTGATAATGCTGACCCCACAGGGGACCATAGTTTAGAGAAGTGACCATCTATTGTCTAAACCCTAAGCCCTAAACCCTAAGCCCTAAACCCTAAACCCTAAACCCTAAACCCTAAACCCTAAACCCTGAACCCTGAACCCTAAACCCTAAACCCTAAACCCTAAACCATCCGAATTCTTTGTCATGCCGTGCCAGGCGCCGGTTGCAGCGAGCCGTTGCAACGTTAGCGACGTGACGCGCCGCGGAAAAGATGGCGATGGGATGTCGGCGCTTAAGGGTTGGGATGTTCCCGCCGGTTTAGGGTTTAGGGTTTCGGGTTTAGGGTTTAGGGTTTAGGGATGTTCCTCCTTAAGCTAACAGTCCTTAATAGGGATTCTCATAGGGGGTACCATCATCCCTATTCAGCACTGTATAGTATAAGGGGGAACATCCCAACGTAAGGACTCCTCCTTGATGTCAGTATTCTCTCCATCATCCTTGCCGTGGTTTGCCTCCAGCCCTCCCACTCCCAGGGACTCCAATGCCCCTCAGTTAAGGAATATTCCCACGGTTTAGGGTTTAGGGTTTAGGGTTTAGGGTTTAGGGTTTAGGGTTTAGGATTTAGGGTTTAGGGTTTAGGGTTTAGGGTTGGGTTCCTTAGCTGGTCTAAGGAATATTCCGTAGTGAAGGAGCCTGGGAGTCTCTCTGGGCCCGGATCCCAGAACCCGGAAGCCTGGAATGGCCCCTGCCGGTAACCCTAAACCCTAAACCCTAAACCCTAAACCCTAAACCCTAAACCCTAAACCCTAAACCCTAAACCCTAAACCCTAAACCCTAAACCCTAAACCCTAAACCCTAAACCCTAAACCCTAAACCCTAAACCCTAAGTCTGAAGCCTTTCAAGCCCACAGCCTTCCCCCCTCCCCCAATGGCAAACGGCGGGGCGCATGTTCGTGTGTGGAGCCGTGGCCGTGAACACCAGAAGCCGCGTTTAGGGTTTAGGGTCAAGGAGCCCCAAACTTCTTCGTAGGATTCAGAAGTTAGGTTCGGGGTTGAGGGTCGGGTTTCGGGTTTCGGGTTTAGGGTTTAAGGTGACATCTGATCGTGTGAATACACCTCCTAGAGACCTATGTTGTGCGGCCCTGCCTTGGAGCCATAGCTTCGAGAAGAAGGCTTGGAGGCCCACGCTAGTGATGTGCTCTTGGGTTTGGGGTTTAGGGTTTAGGGTTTAGGGTTTAGGGTTTAGGGTTCAGGGTTTAGGGTTTAGGGTTTAGGATTTAGGGTTTAGGGTTTAGGGTTTAGGGTTCTTAAGTGAGGGGGTTCAAGGGGGGCCTGTAACTCAAGGCTCCCCACGACTGGCTGAGGCTCCCTCAGCCCATCTAAGGTTCCCTAGGTACTTGCCCCCTTGAACCTCCCTCCCTTAAGAACTCTACCCCTTATACCCTAACCCCAAACCCCAAACCCTAAACCCTAAACCCTCCCTCAAGAACTCTATAATGTGTGTATCGCAAAGCAGTTTGCCTTTTCAGTTTCACCGTGGACATGTGTTTGAGCTGGAAAAGCTGGCCGAGTGAATTGGACGTCTAAGGCGCGTAATCCTGTCGGGGTTTAGGGTTTAGGGTTTAGGGTTCAGGGTTTAGGGTTTAGGTGTTGATAAGCGTGCGCAGGAAGCTTCGTGTTGAGCTATCAATTGAATGTAGCGAACAAGCAAGCGACGTCTTTGCGGCTGGACATTTGACCCGGCATCGTGCGTGGCAGCTGCCCATCGCCTTTCGTTTCTTAAGAAGGCCACTTGCATGTGGAGCAACTTCCCGATGGGCAAGACGAGCACTTGCGCGGACACTTCTGGGGCACGAGTCTTACGGTCGTCCACGTCCCGGACAGCGAAGCATAGGCACCGCTTTTCCTGCTTGAGCTGTTTTGTTCTGGGCGCCCCGGCAGACCCGAGTCCGATGCCTGTTTCGCAACGGCCTGTCTCGGCCCCACGATACAGGAGACACCTTCGCCTTCGCCGTGCTTGGGGACCCACACCCCGGTGGGAAGCGGCATCAGCCCAGAGCGGATCGTTTGCTCGCCTTCGTCGCGCCAGAAAGCCGACAGCGCCGTCTGCAACGAAGCTGGTGGGAGCTACGTTCCGCTTGAAAACTCGTGCAAAACGGGGTACAATGGTTTGGGCCGCAAATCATGCGGTCGAACGTGGACACGGTACATCATGGTACAGCTCGTATCGCCAGCACCGTGCCATGTGCGAGCTGCAGTCAGTTCTGTGCGGGGCAAGACTCGGCGCGTAGCAGCCAGGGTACAGGCGTATTATCCCCCCAGCCGCTGAGGCGGAAAGTTGCCCAGGCAGAAAGCGAGGTCGTCTATGCGCAGCCGCAACAGGGCACGACGCAGCCGGCGTCACCAAGTACGCAACAAAATCACCGAGGTTGAAGTGCCCTTGGCGCAAGGCCCATGTCAGCGATCTCACCCGAAAACGGCACCCGCCTTGCACTTCGCTGGGACTCCTGAAGCTCCATCGGTGTCGGCATCGTGCGGAGGTTGTCGCACGACCGTGCGGCGCGCGTTGCACCAGCAAGCGACCCGGGGATTTGGACGAAGGAGTCCATGGTGCAGGCGCAAAGTGGAGAAGCGGGTCCGTGAATCTGGGCGCCACTGCGTGGCTGCTGTGTACGCGCCCATCGCGGAACGTGGGTATTCGGGGGCAAACTGCACGAGTGAGTCCGCACGAGTCCGCACGAGTCCGCACGGTGGTCGCAGAGTGTATTGTCGATGCGTTCTTCTTCCAAAGGTGCGTGTTCGGGTTGCAAGCTGGGACGTGTGCATCGCACCCCCCGATGATCGTTGAGGTGGGACGGGTCCAGTTTGTTAGTCGGAGTCGAGCGGGGTCTTCTCCTTGGAATTCCGTACCCGATGGGCCACACCGGACCCAGTTCAGGGTGTCGGCGAATGGGTGATACTGGTGCCGAACGTACAGAGCCGCATGCTTATCCCGTGGGAGCTCGTCTCGCTCACCGGCAGCAGGTCCGGGCCATCTTCATGGTAACCAGCGACGATCGACGCCTGCGCTCTGTTCCCTTGAGCCCCGAGAAAATGTTTGTCCAGAAAAAATCGAAGTGACTGAATCCACACTCGCCACGAGATTGGCAGCAGCGGTTCAAGGTGCAAAAGCTCCTTGCAACCCATGCATTATAATTTAAGGGTCATTCCTGAATTAAGGATTTTGGAGTCTCTGCTGCGCAGCCCCAGCATGAGGATCGCCCTGCTCCCCACTGCCAGCTCCTGCGCAGCACGTGGTGGACGCTGCCCATCGGCTGCGGGCAAAGAACTCAAAAGCCTCCATGGGAATCGATGCCCAAGATGGTCACGAGATCTGCCTCCGTAGCCATGGCGACCCTCAAGGGGCGGCTTGCCGAAACGCCGGCAAAAATGTTGCGCTAGCAAGTCACGTGAATCCGACCACCTGAGCACCCGAATGCGGTGAACGCGACGCCTGGAAAAACCGTCATGTGCCGATGTGCGTAGACTTGAGAGCGACCATGGTTCATGGTCAGCACATGAAACGTAAAGCTTGTCTTATCGGCCATATATACAACACGCAAAACCGCGCCACAGTTTTGTTGCTTGGTTTCTTCACGTCTCAACTTTTCTAGCCTTCCGGCGTCTGCGCCCAGGCGTTGGCCGCACGGTGACGCGAGTTGCACAGGGACCGCGCGGTCAAGTCAAACCTCGTAAGATGCACGGGCATGAATTCCACGCGAAGGAGTCCAGAGCTGCAGCTGCGCAGCACGGGGTCTCTGGTAGGCTTGGGCTGCCGCAGAGGTTCGGGCAGGGGGGAGGGGGTTTGCACGGAAGGAAGAAGGAGACCAGATTATTCTAGATGCCTTTCGGCAAAGCTTTTCGGCCAAAAGCCAAGGCAAGTCTTTGTTTCCGCATTTTCTTGTGTTTGCCCCCATCACGCACATGTATGCCGAAATCCAACCTGATCATGTGCCAAGGGCGGCTCCAACAAAGGTAAGAGCCAAACCAAGTGACCATGGAACAATCTGGATGAGATTTTCATAAGATTTTCGTACGCAATTTTCAAGTTCTCCATCTGAGAAGGCACGTTACGTCATCAGCCTCCAGCCTGTTGGGATGCAGGCCCACTGAGGGCCCTCAACTTCACTACGTACTGCTTCGTGGATCAGATCCCATGTTCAATCCGTTGGTGACACCCCCAGTATGCTCCAGATGCAGTTTTTGCAGTGCACTAGCTGCAAAGCACGAAGCCAATCATCCGTTCAACACGGTGGAGCCGCAAAATGCCCAGCGACATCGCGTCCTGCCAATTGGCAGTCGCCATTTTGAACTCCAATCCTGTATGACGCGGCGCCCAATAATGGAGGCCATGTTTGGTTTGATCGTGTCGTCGTCAAGGGCATGCATAGTGCGACGAATCATGCATGCGTCGCATGTCCGCAGCTGGATATCTTGCAGGCGGCACGTGCACCGTTCGTACCACGTTCACACGAGCTCACAGCTGGGGTGCCAGCGCCGTGCGACGACACTATACGACACTACTCAAACAGAACTCATGCAGCACTGCGCAATCCCACGTGGTGTCCGCCAGCGCCCCGCCAAGAAATCGCGGCAGAGCTGTTGCAGGTCGACTCGGCACGCCGCGTTGCCTTGACCGTGCCACAGGTAGCTGAGGCGTTGCGCAGCTCCAACTCCTGCTCGACGAGGCGCTTGCCGCCGTCATCAGGAGCCTCGCGCGAGCGGAAGTGCTTGCCGCGGTCGGCGATGCGCCGTCCCTCAGGCCCGATGGTGGCGTTGCCGGTGACGCTCTCCGGCGTCTCTTCTCCAGCAGCTCGAGGTGCTCGACAGCGCCATACGCACCGGCCAACACTTCCTTCTGCGCGCGCCGGGACGGATGCCTTGGCCGCCCTCCTTCGCACTTCCGCTGGACGGCCGTAGCGCGTAGGATTGCATTAGCCGTCCGGCCATCGTCCGCAAGTTGCAGGTATGCGGCTTTCTTCTGTGGGACGCCGATGGTCCGGTCCACGAGGTGCTGCAGGCCGAGGGCGTGGTGGAGCAAGGTGACTCGCCGGCGCCTGCGCTCTACGCCTTCGGCCAGCATGATGCTTCGCAGGTGCCGATTGGCAACATGCGGAATAAAGTCCGACGCCAAATTGATGGCACATCACCTGACGTAAACACATGGTTGTACGAAATCAAGTAACGAAACTCCTGACGCATGGGTGCAGCAACTCAGCCACCAAACCACTTTCATCACAGGTTCTGTTAGCATCCGTTTTGTTGATTGCATCACTATTGCATCATCAATTTTCCAACGAAATGATGAGTTCCTTTGTCAGCGTAGTAGGCCTGATGGGTATAAGCGTGCACGCCTTGAACAAGGCTGCCGCCAGATGCCCGGGCTCTGGCCAATCGGGGCCTCATGAGGGGTTGCGAGTCACCGCCATACCAGCCCAGCCAGCCACGACGCTCGGCAGCGCTCCGCACGGAGGGCGAAGGAATGCACCTACGCTGAGCTGCTGCGCCCGCCGGTGCCGGCTGGTTGTGCTCGCCATCGAAGTCGACGGACGGTGGAGCTCTGAAGCTGCGCAATTCGTCCGCCTGTTGTCCCACTGCCATGCTTGAGCTGTGGGAGTCCTTCCTCGTTGGAATGAGGGCATCGCAACATCCACATGCTCGAATCCGCCTTTGATTGCTGTAGATGCAGGGATCGGCACCACCCGCCTAGTTTTGGAATTCCTACATGCCACAACCCTGCACTTCTGTCCTCCGGCTCCAGCCTTTAGATGGAAAAGCACCTTGGCAGGAAGGTTTTCGATTGTGTCCCCATCCTCTTTGAATTTCGCCACATCCTGATCGGTAATCCTCCGCAGCGTGACAAATTTCTTTGATATCGCGCGGGGTGCATTCATTGATTTTGTACAGCATTCAGAAAATTGAGTGAGTGAGACCTGCAAGCCGATAGGCAGCCCCTCTGGGGCGCAGGCAAACATTCAACACAGCAAGTGACATGAAAAAAGATGATTCGTCAAAAGCCGTCGATGTTTAGAATGATTCTAACATTGACGTGACGTCATGCCCAAATGCAGTTTGACACCATGTAAAGTTGCGTTCTTTGCCTGCTCCTCCAAGAGGCCGCCTACGGGCATGCAGGACTTACTCACTTACTTACTAATCCTCCGCAGCGTGCGGTGAACATCAAAGATGTTGCTCAGCTCTTCACTGGCCGTAGGACGCCACCTCTTCGATGACTCGCATGCATCTCCCTCGGCCCGGCTCATTTGGAGGCTTTCGTCGAGTTTACTTTGCACTCTTGAGTTCGGCCGCGTAGCTCCTTGTACATAACTATGGTAGCCTTATGCCTGAGCTCTCAATGGGCCGCCTTCGGGCTTTCAGGCCTGACTCTGACTCATTACAATAATGGGGAAAAGACCCTACTTAGACTTGGAGATAAAAACAGATGATTCATGCATCTAGTTCCATTGACCTTGTTTTTTTTTTTATCGCACCTTTTTCCGCCTTCCTGGAGGTGTCCCTTTGCTCCTACCTAGAGCTTGGCTGGGCCTGCCGCGGTCCTTCACTCTGGCCGCATGGGCAGGCGACTGTGGCCAGGAAACCAGCGTGGCGTCGCAGCACTGCGCTCTCCGACTGCGCAGCGCCCCGTACACGACGAGGTCGAGCCTGCGACGGTCCTGCGCTCCGACATGCGGGGTGGTGGTGTTGGCCAACCACTGCTGCGAAACGACTTGACCGACCCCACCGCTTCCCGGGCGACCCGCACCTAGGCTCACTCCACGATCGTGGCCCGCCTGGCGGGGAGTCCAGTGCTCAGGCACGCTAGTGCGTGGTCGCCGAAGGGACCTACTGTGCCACGGCAGCCATGGGGCGACCCGCAGGTGTTGCTGTGTAGGGGCAGAGGTTGTCGCAAGCGGCGCCTCAATGCGACCTGCTTCGCCATCCGCGGGAGCGTCGCCTGGGATCGCAAGAGTGCCTGGGAACTGGGTGGCATGTCCGGCAGCAGCGTACGCTCGCGGAAGTGCGTGTTGAGGATTCGCGTTGCGCGCACCTGCCATCCGTGCGGCCAGTTTCCGGGCCCCGCGTCGTCGGCTGGGGGCGGGCGCCCCTTTCAACAGGGCGCACCACGTGGGGCATGTTTGCCAGCCTGCCTCTCGCAATAGCTCTTGCTTCCACTGCCTCGCGCAAACACGGGGCCCACGCGGCCCAGTAAGCGGCCGGGGCCGTGCGTTGCGCGGATTGTAGGTCGAGTAAGCCGAGCACTGCAGGCAGCGTGACGATGGGCCAGGCGTGGGGCGCAGCGCCACGGGGCTCTACTCCCAGGCAAGCTTGCAACGTTTCCCAGATGGCTGCGTCGTGCGCGGCGGCGTACCCTCGTGACTCGGACGGGGGCAGCGTGCGGAGCAGCCGCGACAAACCTCGCGACATACGTGTGAACAAATGGGCGCGACATACGTGCTCGTATGTAACACACGCGGGGGTCGGTACACCGCGACATACCCTATTTAGAGCCACCGCCAAATCAGGCCTTTGCTAAGTTGTACCCAGGCTCTCGAGCTTCAAGCTCTAGAGTCGTCTATTGCAAACCCTCCAACAATCAGTTTGGATACGCAAACACGACGGTCATGGTGCGTTCACTAATTTTATGTTTGCGGCAAGTGGGCTTGGTATTGAATGCTTCCAAAACCAAATTGATGACGACCCAAGCCCAGCCACCAAATCGAGTGTGGCTTCATGAGGAAACTTACATCGTACGTGATGGTAGCACGCACAAATGGTTGGGATGTCAGTTGTCCATGGGTGGTGACCAAACCTCGGATGTCGAATTTCATCTCCATGCAGCTGCACGGGCCTTTTGGGCGAACAAGTGGATTTTATGTGACAAGCACGTCCCATTGGCCCTTCGGGTAAAATTTTTCGAAGCTGTAGTGACACCGGTTGCATGTTTTGGTGCCGGGCATCGCAAAGTACCGCAGCATCATCTTCGCAAACTGGATTCAGAATGGCGACGATTGCTTAGAATCATGGTTGGACCGCCTTCGGGACTTGATTGGTCGTTACCCTGGCATGAGGTACTGCACGAATGGAATCAACATGTCCAGCAGATGACTCAAACGTTAAACTTGCAGAGCTGGTCTTACAAATGCATCCATGGCTATTGGAATTTCGCACATCATGTGGCAAAGTTGCCAGCAAACAGGTGGGTGAAGCGTGCGATGAGTTGGTCGCCAAATGGAGTTCGCGTTCCTGGTAGACCTCGCGATTGTTGGTACACGCAGCTTGAAGCTTTTGCGCGTTTCAATGGAAGTACCTGTTGGACTGAGTACGTGACAAATTTCTTTGACATCGCGCGGGGTGCATTCATTCATTTTGTACAGCATTGAGAAAATTGAACAAAGATGATTCGTCAAAAGCCGTCGATGTTTAGAATGATTCTAACATTGACGTGACGTCATGCTCAAATGCAGTTTGACACCATGTAAAGTTGCGTTCTTTGCCTGCTCCTCCAAGAGGCCGCCTACGGGCATGCAGGACTTACTTACTTACTTACTTACGCAAACACGACACACGCGTCTAGAGGGACCCGCACCAAGCTTGTCGGTACCACGTTTTGCAGTTGGCATGTTTGCCGGCATGGCCAGGCGCAAGGCGGCAACAGGGCGAGGCGCAAAGGAACCCTATGGCCCTAGGCCCTCCGAGCCAGGCTTAACACGCTCGCCGCCGGCCTTGCAAATCGCCCTGCGGCGGCGACTCCGCCTGCCCCTGCCTCTCGCTCCAAACCGGTGCGGGGGCGCAGGGGCGCACGGCTGTGGCCGCCGAATCGACCCGTTCGGTGACCACGCCTTGGCGTGCCCGCGCACGGGCCTCTTGGCGCGCCGGGCCAAAATCGTGGAGCGCGCATGGTTCCGCGTTGCTCGCGAGGCCGTTGGCCCGGAGGGCCAGGTCGCTCCGCAGCAGCTGCTGGCGAGGACCACCGCGCCGGGAGTGCGGACGGGGGACCAGCGCTGCCTGGACCTGGTGGTCTACGGGGCCACGAGCTGGGGTGGTGCCCTTTGCTGAGTCTTTGCTGCGATGCCACCATGGTATCGCCCCTCACGCGCGAGGGAGAACCGCACCCCCGCGCAGCCACATCTGAGGGAGCCTCGCTGCGCCATGCCGAGCGCCAGCAGCAAGCTGCGTACCCCGACCTGTGCGGGCCCGACCCCAGCGCTTGCTAGTCCTGTGCAATGAGGTTGGAGGGCGCTGGAACGACCAGGCCCGCGACTTCCTGCGGACCTTGATGCGGTTGCGGGGCTGCCGCGCCCCCGCTGCTGTGCGCCGCAGCGCGGCGAGCGGCTGGGCGCGTCGATGGTGGGGGTTGTTGTCCGTCGCGGTGCAAGTGGCCGTGGCCGAGACTGCCTTGGGCCCAACCGCGGCGGGACTGCAGCCCGCCGGCTTTGGCGCGGTGCCTGCTCTGGAGGCCGTCTTGGCGCTGGCTGATGCTGGCTGACTGCGCTGGACCCGGCCTTCCGCCGCTGCGGCCTTAGGCCCACGAGACCTTCCTGGCGGCGGAAAAAGGCCTGTAAAAAAAGAAAGCATCCACATGTCGCCGAGCTACGTTTGCTGCGCTGGCCCTCAGGCGCGGAGGGATTGGAGGGCACCACCGAAGCATGTGCTTGTGACTGCGTGCTGCGCGGCCACTCCGAGCATACCCGCGCCCTGAGACATGTCTACCAATTACCCAGTTGACAGGCGCTCCTCACTAGCATCGCCGGCCTTGCGGGGTGTGCGGCTTCAGGCTGGACGCGTCGTTGGTGGGGCATGCTGTCTGTCGTAGTGCAGCAGGCGGTTGCAAGCATTGCCCTCGGCCAGCCACCGCATGCCACCCACCATTCGACGGCGTTCTCGACGTTGTGGAGCCTGGGCCATAGGCTCCCGAAGGACCCACGGACCTGACACGTTTGAAAAAAACAATCCAACATGTTCCAACTGCGTAGCCCCGCGCGCAGCATCCCCGCGAGAGGCTCGAGACGGCAGCCCGTGTGTAGGCGTCGCCCTTGCAGCGGCACGAGACGCAATGAAATCCGCTGTCGCGAGTTCGAGTGCGGATTGTGCGTTCTTGCGACTGAACAAAAGCTCCATAAAACCCCTTGCGACTGAAGTCGGCAGGCGGTGGAGCAGACTGCGAGTCCTTCCTACGCCGGTTCGTCCGGCTACGCGACGCCGCCGCGCAAGGCTAGGCAAGCTGGTGGTTGGCGTGCCCCGCCGGGCAGGTTGGGGTTGCCGGGGCCAATTACTCCACCCTCCCCGGCCCCAAAACGGCGTTGACCTCGCTGGCGGAAAAACAGGAGGAAAACACCAAAAGCGCATTAAAGAACAAGGTTTGGAGGGTCTTCAGAGCAAGAAGGTCCTCTAGGTTGTGTAGTTTTTGGCCGTATGCTTGTAGACCTAGAGATCCGATCCTGTATATTTGCTACTTAGGAGCAATGGAAACGACTCCAGCCGCAGAGGCGTTTTGCTTGCCTTGTTGTGTGATGTTGTTGAAGTCCGCACGGAGGTGGCGCGGCCGTCAATGGCCATGGCTTCGGGCGCTCAGCTCTACCAGGCAACTGTTGTGTGTTTGCTTACAAGAAACAACAAGCTTTCCATAGTTTTGGTTATCTTCGCGTGTAATCGATGCGTTACGGTATGCCAGAGTTTCAGTGCCGCATGTTGAGTTTCAGCGTCGCTTGAGGTGCGGTACATGCGTGCAAGTGGCCGCTTGCACGGTGTGCATTCTGCGTGCAGGAATGCTGGGAATCATGGCCGGGCACAGCGAGATGGTGCATGCTGCGCGGCCCAATCATAATCCCCTCCAAAAAAAATCCCCTCGCCCTTTCATTAAACCCCCCCTACCCCCTAATATTATATACCCTCCATTATCGCTATGTTACAGCATATTGGGGTTTTTTTGTATTAGGGGGAGGGGGGGGGTTTAAGATTAGGGGGAGGGGATTACACAGCGGTATGTTTACGTGCGCTCGCACTGTTCAGCTAGCGCTTAGGCATGGCTCGAATGTGCGCGGAAAGTCATGGAAGCGTTCACGCCAGGAGATTTGCTCTCGCGCAGATTTGGAGCTCTGTGGCTGGTCACCTGTTCTTTGTGACGGGCCCACGCTTCATCAGTGACTCAACCAACAAGGTCTCGCCACAGAATCCCATGAGTGATTTGAGCAACACATCTCGAGTTCCGCAGGACGAGATTGAGCTCTTCCAAATGACACGCTTGGTGCTCGCCATACCGCTAGGCCAGGCTGTGTTTGTAGTTGGCGCAACAACCCATTGACATTGCAATTGTGTTTTTCCGTTGGTGGTGCTGGCTCAATTTCGAGGACTCCTTGCCATGTTCCACCTTGTGGAGAATGCGAAGCCCCAGCCACGATTGCGGGCGTTAATCATGGCCCGCGTGTCGATGTTTGAATTTTGCGTTAAGATTACGTATTACTCGATGATGGCCACTGGTCGTGAATGGGCTTGGCAAAACATGCGTTGCTATGATGTGCGGCCCATCTATTTGACACGCTGGCTTGGTTGGACCTTTGCCATCCCCACTCTGCTGGTCATGTTGCTCGGCTGCGAAACTGTATTTTCTGTATTGCGAGACTGTCTTGCGTGATTATTGCAAGGGGTTGCACAGAGGAACGCATCCAAAAGTGAGAGCTCATCCCAGGAACTATTATCCAATTCTGGATGATCGTTCCTTTAGCGAGGCGGGGGACGCAAGACATTCGTCAAAAGCTGTTCTTGCCCAGCTTGGATGCATGACTGGCAGGGTGTGCGCCGCATCTTCCCACAGATGGCAGCAACAGCAGCATATTGCTGGGCTTGCTACATGGGCTGCGTGATCACAGATGCTTGGTATGGATGGCATCTTCCCTGCATTTCATGCTTGTGTTCCCAGCTGTGCACGCTTTTTTGCTCCCACCAAGTGCCTCATAATGTTTGCAGGGACCGTAATGATTGTTTTCGACTTTTGTGGTTTTTGTATGGCTTCCGATCAACGACAGAGGAACTAGAGGGTCTTCCTATTTAATTACACAGGAAAAGTTTTCACATTCAGAAGTCGTATAGGTTAAGAACGTTTTCACATTCAGAAGTCGTATAGGTAAAGAAGGACAGAAAGAATGAACGAAAGAAATAACAGATGGCAAAAGCGTACAAAAAGAAATAAAGAAATAACATCACAAACAATGAAATAACAGAACGAACAAAACATAGTGACTGAACAAAGAAAACAGGAAAGAACGCACTAAGTACATAGAAAAGATAAAACTAAATGGAAGACATAGAAGCAAAGATACATAAATTGCGAAAGAAGAATGCGTAAATATTGAAAAAATCAAATATTGTAGAATGAAACACGCATATTTCAAGCCTTGCAAGCTTTTTAACAATAAGATGATGATTATGCCATAAGGAGGACATCATGTGACACAGAGGACATGCATTAAAAAACCATGCGAATCCTATTTCCAGACAGTTATGCGAGTATTGTGAACATTTGCAAAAGGGGGGTGGGGCTGCACCCCCCCAAACCCGCCGGCTGATTTCTTTCTTCTGAAGCCATGCAAGATTGCTTCATAAAGAAGACATGCAAGGATTGCGTTTTCGTTTTCGGGGGGGGGGGGGGGTTGGAGGGCAGCTTGCAAGAAGACTTGCGTTCAACCTTCCCCCCCCCCCCCCCCCCCCCCCCCCCCCCCCCTCCGCTCCCGACTCCCGACCCCTCTCTTCTTTCTCAATTGCTTGGTGGTTCAATCTTGCAGAATGCCGAGACTCTGGATCGCAGGGACCTTCAGATCTACAGTTATGCTGCAGAGGAGGTTGTTTTGAGTTCTTCAGTGTGATGAAGGGGCACATAGTGTAGTGGTATCACCTCCGCTTCGCATGCGGAAGGTCCCCCGGCTTGTGTTCGATTCGGAAAGCCTCTATTCTCTCTGTAGTTTTAAGAGGAACACCCGTATTTCCACTGTAGTCTAATCGGAAAACTTCTGTTTACTCTGTTAAGGGGAAGCCCAGACAAGCGCGAAGGTACAAAACGCGGAAAGAAGGGTACTGTACAGCACTTTGCGCCCTTTGCAGCACCTCTGGAGCCACACGGAAAACCACCCAGTCACGTGCATGAACTAGAACCCATATATATATATATGTATATATACATATATATAAGAGCAAAACAACAAAACAGCAACAGCAACGGCAACGGCAACGGCAACGGCAACAGCAACAGCAACAGCTTGGGGGGTCTTCGTGATCGAGCTATCCCTCTGCTTTGCCTTGCGCCGTGTGCATGCCCAAGGTATCTGAACACGTTGGGATGCGCAGCTTGGCTTGCTGGTTTAGGGTTTGGGGTTTGGGGTTTGGGGTTTGGGGTTTGGGGTTTAGGGTTTAGGGTTTAGGGTTTAGGGTTTACACAGCAACTTTCCGGGTCAGAACTTACAGGACGAGGTGGCCCTAGCAAAAGCCATATCCGAGCAGCCGCTCAGGTGGCGTATGTTGCTGTGGTTGTGGACACAGTGTGCCTGACAGCAGAGCGCATTTTGCATCGCGGCGTTACGTTTTCGCAGTTTTCCAGATGTGGGAGATTCATTCAGTAACCTTCTTTCCCATGGGCCGGCGAGAGCTGTGCCTAGGGCCCTGTTTCAGCCTCAGGTACACGGACCAGCCCATCCTAAAGGGCTACAGCATCATCGTGAAGGAGTGCGTGCGTCTTGACTTGCAACGGAAAAAATTGTGCTCTTGCAAGTCAGACAGGGCCTGCCTCGGTTTAGGGTTTAGGGTTTAGGGTTTAGGGTTTAGGGTTTAGGGTTTAGGGTTTAGGAACCCAACAGTGGATTTCTCGGGGGCAATTCAGCACGTGGTGCTCTTCTGGATTTGGATCCAAACGGCCCAGAACATGCGCAGAAGGCTCTCAAGCATGGAGTGCCATCTGCAAATTTAGGCACACGGACTTGCATGCGCTGTAGTGCTCACTGGGCTTAGCCTTGCCCGTGTTCGGAATGTTTAGGGTTTAGGGTTGCGCTGCAATCCGTGGTTGCCAGCGCTTCTCTGTGAGCCCAGATGCAAAATTTGCTTTAGGATTTGGCGTTGAGTCAGGCGCAGATTCATCGTTTGGCCTGCACGCCCTCACGGAGCGATACAAGGAAGAACGGCTAGCTAGAAAGCAGCAGCCGCGAAAGCAGGAACGCTCTCGTCTGAGACATGCCAGGGCAGCATGATGATTGAAGTTTCGGCTATGCCATCACCTTTCTGCTCGACATCCTGGATTTCGCAAGCTTAAACGCGAAACTAAACCCTAAACCCTAAACCCTAAACCCTAAAAACCCTAAAAACCCTAAACCCTAAACCCTAAACCCTGCACCCTAAACCTTAAACCCTGAAACCCAAGGGTTGCTGCTCCAGATTCAGGGAGCTCCTGGTTGTGTGTCACGCAGGGCCAGCACCACAACGACTTGAGAGTGGAAAGGGTTTAGGGTTTAGGGTTAAGGTGCTGTTGCTAGAGTGGCTTCTCGCCGCTTAAATTGTGCTTTGGGATACAGGCTAGGCGGCCATTCGCCATGTCAGAACTGGAAGTGTTTGCAACGTTTCCCTCGATTTGTAGCGGACCACACTAAACCCTCAACCCTAAACCCTGAACCCTGAACCCTGAACCCTAAACCCTAAACCCTTAAGCCCTAAACCCTAAGCCCTAAAAGACCCTAGACCCTAAACCCTAAACCTTAAACCCTAAACCCCTAAACCCCTAACCCCTAAACCCCTAAGCCCTAAGCCCCTAAACCCCAAGCACGCAGCCCAGGTTTGTCATCTACACTTGCGTCTGGCTGCTCGGGAACTGGGGCTACACCAGCTCCTACTCTGTCCAGCGGTTCTATTCCGCCACTGAGAGAAGTTGTAGGGTTTAGGGTTTAGGGTTTAGGGCTTAGGGCTTAGGGCTTAGGGCTTAGGGTTTAGGGAAGAGAAGATGTTGGGATGTTCCCCTTCTACTAACAGTCCTTAGTAAGTCTTAGCATAGGGGGCGCTATAATCCTTATTAAGGACTGTTAGTATAAGATAGTATAAGGGGGAACATCCCAAAGAAGATGAGCAGTGAAGAGTTTGATAGCCCTCGGTCATTTGGGCTTGCCACATGTCTTGCACCAGTCACGCTCATGAATGGGTTTGTTCTGGGAACCCCCGCTCCCCCCTCCCTCTGCCAAAGAAGAAAGTTTATGAAGAACTAAACCCTAAACCTGAACCCTAAGACCCTAAGACTCTAAACCCTAAACCCTGAACCCTAAACCGAAAATTTATGAAAAACAACACCCAAGCATAATGGCCATGCTCTGCAGAACAGCCCCCACATCCTTTATCTTGAACTCAGGTCTCAGATGCTCCGGCTGCATTTAGCAAAAGTTATAGCGCCTTTCTAATCTGCTCAGCTGAGATGGGGAATGCAGGTGCACTTGTCTGTCCGTAATTTGCGGTTTAGGGTTTAAGGTTTAGGGTTTAGGGTTTTGGGGTTTAGGGTTTAGAGCTTACGTATGCAAGGGCTGGCACGGGGTTGCCAGTTTTTGGGGGGTTTAGGGTTTACACAAGGGTCTTTCAATGTTTTGTGAGGACTGGAAGTGTCGGTTGTCCAAGAAGACTCGTGGCCTTCTCGCACACGCAAGAAGAGACCTTCAAAACCAACTGGGGGTTTCCGAAATTAGGGGGGGGGGCCCTTAGGTTAGGAGGCCTGGAAGCAAAAAGGGGAGGCCTTATCATAAGGGACTCCGACTCTTGGGGGTCTATATGAAGAATATATGAAGGGTCCTTTTATGTTCGGAAAGCGCCCAAGTATCGCCATGACTTAGAAAGGGCACGACTGGAGGAATTACCGGCAGCGGCCTTGCTTACATCGGCCCTTCGCAAACCTGTAAAAGATGTCCGGCTTGAGGGTTTAGGGTTTAGGGTTGTGACGCTTAGCCCAAGTGCCTGTAGCTAAGGATGTCAGTCTCAAAAGTACGATGTGCGTCTTGCGCCATGGCTGCACCATTCTCTCGCGCGCTGAATGGGTGCTCAATTCTTCTTTTCACGGAAGATAGATATGGTTCTTCCCCAACAAGGGCACCCCTAGTGTACTGCTCTGAATACTATAGCCCCGATGATAGGAGCCCTCAACAAGGGGACGTGTATCTTGGAAACTCCCATTTCGCTTGGCTTGAAAGCTCAGTCCGCGCACTCCAAGCTAGCTGTGTGGTGAGGATGTTTTTCTTCTGGTCCATGGAGGAAGAGAAGAAGGAGGACTTACATACCTTAGTAGTAGAGAAGGTAACCTTTAACCTTTTTGGGGTAATATATTCCCGCTTAGAATCCCAAAGGTTAACATTTAAAACCCCTAACTAAGATACACTCGGGGTTTTAGGGTTTATAATGCTACAAGCCCGGATGCAAAAGTAAAGGTTCAGGGCTCACATTTCAGAACTTTCCAAGTTCCTTGGTCTTGTGCCACGCTGTCTCCATGCGGCTCGGCATTACTCTGGCTGGTTCTTAGTAGGGAATGAGGGAATGAGGTACCCCGTATAATCCCTTAAAGGGTGTATATAGGGCCCTAATTTCTTTGTGGTGCTTTACTGTAGCTTTACATCTTTAGCCTTTTTGGGTTTATTGGGTTTCTTAATAAGGCAGCTAAAAGGTTAGTTTTTTGCTACCCTCCTAAGTGCAGCCAAGTAATTTTCTCGTTCCCTACTGAGAACCAGGGGGTACTTTCGTCATCCTGGCCTTGGGGAGTTGCATGGCCAAAGAATCCCCGGAGTCTTCACGTGCGCAGGTTGCACCCAACCAACGGGTTTAGGGTTTAGGGTTTGTTTAGGGTTTAGGGTTTAGGGTTTAGGGTTTAGGGTTTAGGGTTTAGGGTTTCGGGTTTAGGGTTTAGGGTTTAGGGTTTAGGGTTTAGGGTTTAGGGTTTAGGGTTTAAGGTTTAGGGTTTAGGGTTTAGGGTTTAGGGTTTAGGGTTTAGGGTTTAGGGTTTAGGGTTTAGGGGTGCGTTGAAGGCTGCGAGTATGACGCCATGCAAGGACTCAGACCAAGAGAAGGACAAGACAAGCTGAGCGACGATGCTGACCGTCTGCCCGTGCTTCAGCCCCTTCAGCGTTTCGACCCCCTAAATCCTGCTGCCCCCTTACACGCCATGGAGCCCCTCGACACTCGAGATCTTCACAGCTGCGAAGTTCCGCCATCATTTTCGCAGTGGATGAACTAGCTAGTAACTGGGTGCAAATTGGAGTTGCGCTTAAGTAGAGGCAGAATCGCATCTGTATGTTCCCCGAAGACAATGACCGGAGCAACGAGGTATCTTCTGGATAGGAAGTTGCCACAGCAGTGCAGACCATCATGTCATGTCAGCTCTTTTCACATGAGCGCTGCGCGGACGATCGCAAAATGGGCTCACGGAGCGCAGTAGGATGCGACTCTCTGAACCCCCAGGCTAGGTATCGATTTGGGATAATTTTAAATAATTTCGGGGACTGTTGAAAGCGACACCTAGCAAAGCCTAGCCGGCTGCAACCCTCAACCTTACCAACTGGGGAGTTACTAGCCAGTGAACCTGCAGTCGACAGAGGGTGCCACGTCGGGCTTCGAAGGGATGCAGGGAGCATCTGTTGAGCACGGTGGGGGGGCTTATGACCTTTCAACCTTGTCGCAAGGCGCCCGAAGTTGAGATTTTTGCGGTGTGTGTTCTGTTCAGATGTCATGCGTGTAGTACCTTCATGATCCGACTATATCCCAGATCCAGCAACACCGGAACCCCCCTTGTTAGCTCATGTTAGGGCGACTGGAATGGACGAATGTTATGGCGCTGGGCTCCACAGCTTTCTGCTAGCGGATGCCGCTCCAAATGATGCTTAGAGGTCGAAAACCCAGGATGTAGAACATCCAAAATAAGCCCTACGATTAAGCCTAGACCCCTAAACCCTAAGTTGTGAGAGCCGAAGCCCCATATGCCTTAAGCCTTAAGCCTTGACCCTTATACAGTGCAGGCTCGACGCACGATCCCCAAAGGAAGTTTAGGGCCAACATCCCTCCCAGCCCCCTTAAGTCCCTCCAGAAGATTAGAGGGGTGAGCCACCAAGCCTGTTGAGTTTTTCGGAGCCATGCCTTCGGCCTAGTGTGCTCATGGAGGCAGTGGATACTCGGTGACCTGCGACCCTGAGATTTGTCCGTTCAACTTATGCTTGTCTCCGCCGGAGAAGGCTAAGGCCTCCAGGAAGTCTGGTTTGCTGTTTAGGGTTTAGAGGGTATAGGGTTTAGGGTTTAGGGTTTAGGGACCTTCGTGAGTTGCGTTGCTGCACTGGTTCTTGGGACCGTGTTTAGTGGCTTCGCTATGAACTGCTAATGTTCTGGCATGCAGCACGTCGGAGTAGGCTACTAGGACTCCACCTGCGAGGCAATCGCTCAAGCCGCAGGCGCGGTGACGAGTGGCGGATCGGAGGAGCGGAGACTGAAAAAGTGTTTTGGGCAGTTCTGCGAAGAGTCGTGTGCGGGAGCCCAGGCGCCTCCTGCGAAACGTCACCGGGTTTTTCAAAGTTGCGCAGAGAAGATTCTGCCCCTACTCAAGCATTGCTTTGAACAGCAGCCGCTTGAAGAGTCGCATGCCGCTGAACAACTTTAAGCCCTACGCCCTAAACTCTGGACCCTGGGTGTTCCTCTACTTTGTGACGGGGGCAACTTGTCTGGACCCTAAAACCTACACCCTAAAATTTAGGGATACCTGAAGAGACAGGCCAGAAGCGAGGCAGGAATGCAGAATGGGCCTTGGCCCCCCCACATCGGCATGACCTACACCTTGTGGGTTCCATCGTTTCCGGACCTATGTGTACTCAGTGGTTTAGGGTTTAGGGGTTTAGGGTTTAGGGCTCGAAACCCTTTTGCGCCAGGGCTCGTAGTACGTTGGTTGTTGTGGTGCAAAGCACGCAACAACTGCAGTGCGGGAAAGTGGGTCTCCTCTCATGATGTCCGCTAGGGTGATGGTTGCTGTGGGGTTGATGGTGCGTTGCAGTAGGGGTATACTCACCGAGGTCAGGGAGTAAACCCTAAATAACCCCCTACCACAGGATTCCCCCTGGGCAGCGCGCCGGTTCCCCAGCGACTTCTACTGTGGCTGCTTCACCTACCGTTACCATGCGAGTATCAGATCAGTTGCAGTGATTAGAATTAGGGGGTTTAGGGTTGAGGGTTTAGGGTTTAGGGCTCAGGGTTTCATGATGAGTTCCTTCACAAAAAATCCCAGCTCCTGCAGCACAATGCAGTACCATGATCATGCGCCCATCATGAGGTATGAATCAAACACTGCACCCCAACTCAGTGTACCTAAGCCCTTCTTAGTCCGACGACACTCTGCAAAAGTAGTCCCCCCCCCCAACCCCCAAAGAGAAGTGCTGCTCTCCGTACTCGGCCAAGACATAGGCTCTTCGCTCAAGCGCTTTATGCTTCGACGCCACCGCAGACTCCACAATTCAGAGATGTACGGCTACAGACAAGGTAGATCGCTTCCATTCAGGTTGTTGTCTTCGTTTTTCCATCCCTGGGGCTTTTAATGTTGCAAGAGAGGGTCTCAAGGGTCCCGAGCAATGTGCTGTGTTTTGAGTGCCGACTGTTGCTGTGGATGTCTCAGGTCCTCAGGGGAAGGACAAGCAGTACGATGCGTATTGGAGGCACCCTTCGCCATCCGCATGTTGCTCTTGCGGCCTACCGGAAGGGCACCTTGCTTGGGTTGGGAGATGCACCTCCTTTCTATCTTCAAGTTGCGAAGGCCCTGAAACAGCTGGGGGCCCTCCCTCCGTGATGTGTCCTTACAGGATGGAAACAGCTCAGAGGGACTGCACAGGAATTCTTGAAGTGAAGGCTGCTGTTGCGCAGGAATCAGCAATTTAGCGCGGGGCTGGCTGAGACGAAATACAGCAACATCTCAACGCCGCCAAACCTCAACCCTAACCCCTAACCCCTAACCCCTGACCCCTAACCCCTAACCCCTAACCCATAAACCCTAAACCCTAAACCCTAAACCCTAATCCCTAATCCCTTGCCGGGGTTCCTGCCCCCGGGGTCGTTTTTCCCTTTCATTCCGAGACCGACCATGAGACCCCGCCGTGCTTTGGCTAGTCGGGTGCCAAAACAAACCCTAATCCCTAATCCCTAAACCCTAAACCCTAAACCCTAAACCCGAAACCTGAACCCTGAACCGTGAACCGTGAACCCTGAACCCTGAACCCTGAACCCTAAACCCTAAACCCTAAACCTTAAACCCTAAACCCTAAACCCCAAACCCTAAACCCAAGCCCTCAGCCCTAAGCCCTGGGTCCCCAAAACATATGGTGATGCCGCAGCAGGTTGGACTGCCCCTCGACTGGGAGCCCAATCGAGGTGACTGCTACAGTTGGATGCCGGTGCTCCCGAACTTGGTTTTCCCAAACACTAAACCCTGAACCCAAAACCCTAGACCAGAAACCCTAAACCCCAAACCTCGTGTTTTTTGTTACCATCATGACATGATTAATTGGTTGTGCATATGCAACACGAAGACATACAACTCTTCTTCATTTTCGCGACTGCCTATGCACAGTCTCAAGCAGTCATGTTTCGGGATTAGGATGGCCACTTGTCTGACTTGCTTGTACCCCCCTATCTTGCCAGCTGTTTTCAGGCCTTCTTTACTGACTTTGGGTGCTGGCTACCTGCGAAGTTTCTGCATGTGCGCCTCGCCTAGAAGCTCTTGCACAGCATGAGCTTTTTATAGGGTTCTTAAGGGAGGGGGGTTCAAGGGGGGTATGTAACCCAAGGTTCCCTAATGCTCCCCACTACTCCCTAAGGTCCCCTAAGCTCCCTTGCTACCTACCCGCCGGGGGCTCGAGGACTTTTTCCAAGCCCTTCTTAAAGAACCTCCTTACCCTGAACCCTCAACCCCAAACCCTAAACCCTAAACCCGAAACCCCAAACCCCAAACCCTAAACCCCAAACCCCAAACCCTAAACCCTAAACCCCAAACCCCAAACCCTAAACCCTAAACATTAAATTGCAGGAGCACTTTGGGGTTACGGGGCTCTTCAGGGTGCCTTAGGATTTTTGACAGGGGTTTAGGAGTTTAGGGTTTAGGGTTTAGGGTTTAGGGGTTTAGGGTTTAGGGTTTAGGGCTAGGGTTTAGGGTTTAGGGTTCAGGGAGGCCTCGGCCGAACTATCAAGCCCACGGGTTTCTTGGGAGAGTCGAGTCTCTCACTCTTTTTGGGTAGGGTTTAGGGTTTAGGGTTTAGGGTTCAGGGTTTAGGGTTTAGGGTTTAGGGTTTAGGGTTTAGGGTTTAGGGTTTAGGGTTTAGGGTTTAGGGTTTAGGGGTTAGGGGTTAGGGGTTAGGGGTTAGGGGTTAGGGTTAGGGTTTCCGGATGCAAAAGGGCTAGGGGTTCGGGGTTTGGGGTTAGGGTTTTGGGTTTAGGGTTTAGGGTTTAGGGTTTAGGGTTTAGGGAAAAGGGGGCTCCTGCTTCGGTGCCTAGGAATCCAGATGGCAGCTTCTCCATCCAGTGGAAGTCAGACGGCTCCACCAGCGCCTCCTCTGAAGAGACCTGTTGCAGCACTCGGTTTAGGGTTTAGGGTTCGGGGTTTAGGGTTTAGGGCTTAGGGTTTAGGGCAGTGCCCCTCACACACAATGCGACGGGGTTTTCTGATACTAATGGGTACTTTCTTGGGGTCCTTATTATAAGGGAAGCCTACTATTTGGGTGGCTCTATTAGGGGTCCCTTATTGTCGTAAAGCCCCAGACCATGACCCCACACAACGGGACCATGACCTGACCCCTTAGCTGTCACATGCTGTCACGATCAGAATTCACGTCTAGGCTTTTGTGTATCGTAGGATTCAGAAGGGTCGGGTCAGGCAATGTGTGGGTGCCCCGAAGCCTTAAGCGTAGAATCAGGTTGAATGCGATCCACTCGGGGATGATCGGGTCGGCTGCATGCTTGCCGCGACTGTGTCGACGGTTTGTGTTGGTTCGCCTGCGGTGTGCCCAATGCACCTTTCTGTGGGGGTTTCCGAAATAAGTGGTGCCCTTTTTGGGGTTCTTTTGCCGGGTTGTATAGTAGTTTGGGAGATATAAGGGGTACCCTTATTTTCGGAGAGATCCCATGTCGAAGCCACTGCCTGCAAGACTCTGCAAGATTGTGGAAGCCGCTTACCAGATGGCAACCTTGGTCCCAGGTGACCTCCTACGGTGCCCCCAAAAAAGAAGTAGCCATACCCAATAAACAAGCAAGGCCACGCATTTGCCTTTTTACAAAGCCCTAAGCCCTGAGCCCCAAACCCCGAAAACCCGAAACCCGAAACCCTAAACCCTAAACCCTACACCCTAAACCCTAAACCCTAAACCCTAAACCCTAAACCCTAAACCCTAAGCCCTAAACCCTAAACCCTAAGCCCTAAACCCTAAACCCTAAACCCTCTTTTCAACAGGCGTCCTGCCGGAGGATGCGGTCCGGCCGGTTGGCGCTGCCAAGCCTGATCCAACGCCTGCACCAGGACATTGGGGGTTTAGGGTTTAGGGTTTAGGGATTAGGGATTTAGGGTTTAGAGATTTGGGGTTCAGGATTTCGGAATTAGGGTTTGATTTTTGGGTAAAGGACTTAGGGCGTTTTGGGAAATGAGGGTTTACGATATTAGGGCCTAGGATTTTGGCATTTAGGGTTTAGGACATTAGGGTTCAGGATTTCGGGTTTAGGGTCTGAGGTTCTGGAAGTAGGATATGAGGTTTTTTTGCACAAACGACCACAGCATATTGCCGAGGCAGTTGATGTATCCCAGGCGAACAGAATTCTCGGATCTCAGGCCCCCTAAACCCTAAACCCTAAACCCTGAACCCTAAACCTAAACCCTAAACCCTAAACCCTAAACCCTAAACCCTAAACCCTAAACCCTAAACCCTAAACCCTAAACCCTAAACCCTAAACCCTAAACCCTAAACCCTAAACCCTAAACCCTAAACCCTAAACCTAACCCTAAACCCTAAACCCTAAACCCTAAACCCTAAACCCTAAACCCTAAACCCTAAACCCTAAACCCTAAACCCTAAACCCTAAACCCTAAACCCTAAACCCTAAACCCTAAACCCTAAACCCTAAACCCTAAACCCTACACCGAGCCAGGGTTTGCTAGTCCGCCCATCCCTAGTTTCCGAATGCGTGGGAGAGAAGAAGCGCGACACAGTTTCAGATTTAATGTAGGGGTCGGAAGAAGTACCAGTAGTTGTCCCTTATGGTCCCTTTATGATTCCCCCCAAAGCCCTGTTCTAATTGTTAAGGCCCCCCCTATATTACATGGCTACGAGTCATTGTGCTACGTGGCCAGAAGAAGGCAAGCCTCTTCTGTGTTTCCATGGGATTGCTCCAACGTACGCTGGAATCCAGCCTTTTCTGCTCCGTGAGACTTTCGCGTCGGCTACAGAGAACGAGATGTCGCATGAACGCATGGAAGCTCTCCACTTCTCAAACACAGAAATCTTTGTGGTACTTTACCGTAACTTTAGGTCCTTACCCTTTTTTGGGTTTATTGGGTTTCTTAATAAGGCAGCTAAAGGTTTAATTTATAGCTACCCTCCTGAGTGCAGCCAAGAAATGAGCTGTGATTCAGCTTGGATGGCCAGGCGGTCGATATACATGCATCGCCCTCGTGGCCTAAACCCGAGATCCTGAACCCTAAACCCTAAACATCCCCAAACCCCTAAACATCCCTAAGCCCTAAACCCTGAACCCTAAACACCCAAAGTTCAGGGTGTAGTCTTTTGTGGGTGTAAGGTTCAGCTGGCAAGGACCTGCCGAACCTCATGGCCTGAACTCTGAGCTCCTGAAGCTTCTGAGGCGGCGAGCATTGGGCCCGGCATGGTGCATTGCATTCTGCGCATGGTCCAGGACGCATTCAGATTACCCGAAACCCGAAACCCGAAACCCGAAACCCTAAACCCTAAACCCTAAACCCTAAACCCTGAACCCAAACCCTGAACCCTAAACCCTAAGTTACAGTGGCACCCAGGAGCCGAAAAAACCGTGATGCGTTTCACAGTACGCCCTGTTTCCCTGTAAGCTGGGCGGCAAGTTGAAGGTTTTCGGTTTCAGGGTCTGTTGAGATTTGAATGCTGGCTTTCACAGAAATTTCAAGACAAGGTTGCTTTTCAAACCCTGACAGGCTTTTATCAGGCAGGCCGAAAGCCAAAAACCCTAACTCGGTACGTGTCGATGAGCTGGGAAAACCGAAACCCAACTTTGCAAACTCAGCTAAACCCTAAACCCTAAACCCTAAACCCTAAACCCTAAACCCTAAACCCTAAACCCTAAACCCTAAACCCTAAACCCTAAACCCTAAACCCTAAACCCTAAACCCTAAACCCTAAACCCTAAACCCTGCGAGGCTTGCACGCCCCAAGTGGAGGGACAAAGATGTCTACGCAGCAGCAGAGACTCCTCCTGATTCGGGGGAGTCGGGGTTGTGGGTTCTGGTCTGGTAATAGGGTTTAGGGTTTAGGGTTTAGGGTGTAGCAGTGGTCAGCTGTACGCAGTTGTGTGCAGACATGCCCGCCCCAAGGCCACCCAAACACTACTCAAAACGAGCCAAAAAAGAGCCAGCCAAATCCAAGCCAGCCCACATCCAAAGACTTCTGCACTCAACGCCTGTACTTCGGACTAACATCTAGCACGCTGCCTTATGTCATGGAGCCTGATGCCTTGCTTTTTGCAATGTGACATATGAGAAGATGCCTTGGAAAAGATGTTAGATGTCGAGCTCTCGAGAGAGAAAATTTGGTTTTGCATTGGGCGGGCTTTCTCATTGTTCCATTCTGGATGTCAGGGTATCAAGGCTGCATGGCGAAAGATTTGTTGCCATAAATATGCCTTGCGAAAGTCATTTCTAGAAGCTTGCAAGAGCCAAATCAGCGTTTGCGTTGTGGGGTGTCTTCGGCCGGAGGGCCTTCTCATTGTTTCCATTCTCGACGTCGGGTGTCATGGTGTTGATATGAACAGGCCTTGTGAGAGTCATGTCTAGAAGCTTACCAAAGCCAAATCAGCGTTTGCGTTGGGGGGTGTCTTCGGCCGGAGGGCCTTCTCATTGCTTTTTCTTCGCTATGCCGGAGCGTAAAGGTTGCATGGCGAAAGACCCTTTGCTAAACAGGTCTAGAAGCTTGCGAGAGCCAAATCAGCGTTTGCGTTGGGGGGTGCTCTGCTGAGCTGCAGAGCCTGCCAACCGCACCCCTGAGGGTCGCCAGGCGACAGTCGTTGATATATTATGTCCCTAAACCCTCTGCTCCGATTGCGGCGCTGGACCAGAGGGTCTTTAACAGGTTCAGCCTGGGCCACTGCTCAAAAATTGTGTTTCTGAGTTCGTTCCAGTGCATGCCCAAACCCCCGCCGCTCGACCCATGGCACCCATGGCCTCAGCACCCATGGCCTCAGCACGCCCAAACCCTGTTAGCTCCCATGAAACCACATGGCCCCATGGCCCCAAGGTCCCCCAAACCGCAGCCAGGCCCCAGCTCTAGGCCGAGGCCCCAGACCCCAGGCCCAGGCCCCAGGCAGGCCTCAGGCCCCAAGCCCCAGACCTCCCCCGCTCCGGCCACCCCATGGTACCAAGCACGCCATGCCCCATGACCCATGACCTCCATGGCCTAAGCCCTAAACCCTAAACACTTCATGGCTAGACAGGTGGCAAAAAAACCCTAAACACTAGCCCCTACACCCGAAACCCTAAACGCGAACCCCGAAGCCCTAAACCCTAAACATCATGTAACGAAGAGAGAGTCGCTTGCTTTGGCAAACCTAAACCCGAAACCCTCAACCCTGCACCCTAGACCTAAACCCTAAACCCTAAATTCAGGGCCTAGGCCGCCCCCCTACGTTGGGGGGCGGCGCTTACGCCCTTCGACTTCGATGGCGCAAGCCGACCAGATCGCTCTGGCACTGGCCCCTCTGGCCCCTCTGGCCCCTTTGGCCCGTGCTTTCCTTCTCTCCTGAATGAGTTTTTTAAGAAGCTGTTGCCTGAGTTTATAAAAGGAATAGGTTTGGGGAGCTTGTTCCGAAACCTACCTTCACAGCACCTACGCCCTATCACAGCAAACCCCAAGCCCCAAGCCCCAAACCCCAAGCCCCAAGCCCCAAGCCCCAAGCCCCAAACCCCAAACCCCAAACCCTAAACTCTAAACCCTAAACCCTAAACCCCAAACCCCAAAGCCAAGGAGAAGCTCAAAAGTATTGGCATCTGCGAGGCTGCTGCATGGGTCAATTTTGGAATGAGGTGCTAGGCCCCAGAGTAAGCCCTTGATCCCCTCTGCGTTAGAGTTTAGGGTTTAGGGTTTAGGGTTTAGGGTTTAGGGTTTAGAGTTTAGGGTTTCGGGTTTAGGGTTTAGGGTTTAGGGCTACTCGGACCCAGAGTAGGCCCGTATTCCCTTGTTCTAGGGTTTAGGCTCCCTCATAACCCCCTCTGAGCCAGCAAGCCAGAAAGGGTGCCCTCTTGATCCCTGGGCCAGTCTTGGGTGTAGGGCGTGCCGGCTATTGCGGGCCGCGTAGCTCAGGTGAATCAGGCAAGGAGGCCCTTGTCCGGGTCTCAGTGGCCCTAAACCCTAAACCATCAAACCCTAAACCCGAAACCCTAAAACCTAAACCCTAAGCCCTAAACCCTAAACCCTAAACCCTGAACCCTAAACGGTCGTCTAGCTTCCCCCCGAATGCAGGTGGCGGAGCTCCATGATGCCATAGAGTCACAGCTCGAAGGCCATTGCTTGCTGAGCCTGTGATGGTACTTATCTGCCACATAATGGCGTTTTGTGGTTAGGGTTTAGGGTTTAGGGTTTGGGGTTTGGGGTTTAGGGTTTAGGGTTTAGGGTTTAGGGCGGGCAAGAGAATAGCTGGCTCCCCGTTGCATTGCGGTCGCAAAATGGGTTGCCTTCGCAGTGGGCAGGTCTGAGCAAGGATCAGGTGCTCACCCCAACTACAGCCTAAACCCTAAACCCTAAACCCTAAATCCTAAACCCTAAACCCTAAACCCTAAACCCTAAACCCTAAACCCTAAACCCTAAACCTCTCCTACCATATAATTATAAACCTTAATGGTATTCGTGGGCAAGGCCCAAATATTCGTGGGCAAGGCCCAAAGATTCGTGGGCAAGGCCCAAATATTCGTGGGCAAGGCCCAAAATCCGGATTTTGGGCCTTGCCCACGAAT